ATCTAACTTGCTAGATGGCTTTCCAATAGAATCACTATAAGCTTACTGCTAGCTTTGTCAAAATTGCCTTTTTCTTAACATTTTACCTTTTTTAAAAAGACAAAGTGAATGGGGGAAATAAAAACAACAAAAACAAAAAGAAAACGAATATGACAAAAAAAAAAGGAAAAAGAAAAAACAAAGAAATTAAAGAAAAAGAAAATATATATGAAAGGGAATATAAAAGAGAAAATGACAAAAAAAGATAGCAACAAGAATAGCAGAAAATTCCATCTTTTTTAGCACTACTATTACCCATGCCAGGCTAAAAAAATTATATAACAAATATGATATTTGTATATCTCTAGTGTAAAACTTCGCCTTATTAAGTAAATTTTCTAACTAGGTCATCTGGACTTCTAAACAACATAAGCGGCTAACCTCGGTATTACATAAAGCAGCACGGACTATAAACAAACAAACCAGACACATAATTGCAGTCTGCCGGAACTGTCCAGATTTGGAAGAAGTAAACAATGCCGATCTTTTGGAGGGGGTAAACCATTTTGTCTACTTTTGTGAGAAATTTTGGAAGAGCAGTGAGGAGGCAGAGAAAAGAGATAAAACCACTTTGTTTTGTTTAGTAAAGAAGTGTGTATTTTCTTTATTCAACATACTACATCTATAGAAAAACGCAGGTACTCTCTTTATTTTTCCAGGTAAGTGATAAACTCTGGGCTTGTTAACAAATAGCATATAAGAACTATTTCTAAACGACAAGTATCTAGCCCTTGCAGTAAGTGATAAACTCTGAGGAAGTTAGCAGGTAGTGTATGAGAACTACCTCTAAATAACAACTGCTGAGTTACAGAGCTTAAGAACTATTTCCCTGACTGTTTTAACTTTTATAGACGCTAGTATTTTTAAGAATTTTGGATTTTTTTTTGTAGTAAAAATGATTATCAGGAAGAGTTGATTTTGAATTTTGTCCAATATTTCTTTTTAATTAGTATCTGTTATGTTATTATTACTATATTCATTTTTCATGCTATCTTTTATAATACTACTATAACATGATCTGTATTTCAAGCTACAACTTTTCTAACTAGTTGTTTATTATTTACTTTTGCTTTATAACAACTTGATACCCACATTTAGATTTTCTTCTTTTTTGGATTTTTTACTAGTTTCTTGCTTACTTCTAGTTAATAGTCTAAAAAAATCGATTTTGGCTTTACTTTAGTATCTCTAGCTTGTTTTTTCTTGGTATATATTTTCAGAGTATATGGAGAAATGTTAGTAGAAACCAGGCAAATTGTTTTTAAATAAATTTTTTTAAACTTTAAATTAAAATATCCCAACAACTATTAAACCAAACTTGATAAATTTTTTTATTTTAATATTATTTAGTTATAGAATTATAATAAAAAAAAAATTTATTAAGTTTGGTTTAATAGTTGTTGTTAAAATATTTTAATTTAAAGTTTTAAAAAAATTTACTAAAAACAATTTGTCTGGTTTCTACTAACACTCTTTTATATGTTTTTTTCTCCAATACAATAGATCTAGTAGCTAGGCTGGTGTATTTCTCTATTTAAGAATCTAATCATTTAAGAATCTAATCATTTAGTTCTTTAATTTTAGTTTCAAGTTTCAAATTATCAGTTAGCCATGATTTACTCAAATTGTAGAAAAAGACAAAATTTTTGGCCCTTCTGTAGTATTGTCAAAAATTTCTTTACTCGGAACTTTTCAAACAGGTTTTAATTATTTCAGTTCTCTGAATTTTTTTGTATTAAAGCTCCTATTCTAGATAGTGTTACTAAGATTACAGATTTCTAAATCCAACTAATCATTAAATAGCTATTATTGTATCACAAAATTATTTTTTAAAATCGTCATCTGTGGGATTCAAGCTTTAAATTTGCTATTTAGTGGGGTGATGACTAGACCACTTCACTAAGTCACTATATCAGATATATATATATATTATAAAATACTAAATAAAAATATTCAGAATCCTCAAAACCTATCTCTAACTAAAATTTAGACCTCTATATCTAACCCTAACCTTGGTTTAAAATTGTGCCCTAACTCTAAATTTTGATAAAAGAGGCAGTAGTATTAATACTAGTGATAAATACTAAATTTATTGCGACTGATACTGAGATTTTTTGAAGTCTCTATTTAAAAAACATGAACCCTGCTAAAATCTATCTATACTTTTTAAATATCAAATCTAACTCTAAACCCTGACCTAGTCCTAAAAAAAAATGAAAAAAATGCCCCAAAAAATTTAAAAATTCAGGACCAAATTTCAGCATCAGCTACGACACTAATCATATTATTTTAGTTACAAAAGTAAATTCTGACTTCTAGTTACAATAGTTTTATAAAAAATATTTAAAAATAAAATAAGACTAATTTATGCCCCTAGCGATATCACCTAGTTAGTTATAGTTTTTTCGAAAAGATACAATTGTTATTAGGGGTTAGGGTTATAGTAAGGTTAGGATTATAGTTGCAGACATATGATCCATGTCGTAATATTTTTGTAGTATCCACAAGACGTGGCCGCCGACACGTCAAAAAGCTACAACTGAATGTCAGTGATATGCCATAACTTTGGCTTATGTCATAACTTTAGATATTGTCGTAACGTTCGACGATACCAATCACTCTCGTATATTAAACCTTCGATATGAAGACTAATTAAAAAGTATCAAACCCAATCTATTTGAAATTCTCTCGGGATAATGAATTTTTTTAGGCCGATCATTGTTAGTTTCTGATTTAGACGAAGTAGCATCGGCACAAGGTTCTAATGATATGAGATTGCCAGAATCCATTTAAACGACTTTTAATTTATTAATAATTTTCACTTTTAATTTATTGACTTTCTTAAGAAAGGTTTGATTTTTCAATTTTCGTACGATTTATTTATTTATTTTATTTCAAAAGTTAAAATATGTTTATCATTACATTCATCACATCCTGCATCACATCCTGCATCACGTCTAATAGTAGAGTTATGGTCAAAGGCTTAGTCGCGACAAGTATCGGTTACGACTTTTGACGTAATCCTATGTCTCATGTTCCTGCATCCCTAATATAGGTAACATTTAGTGCTAACCATTTTTAGTTAGTAGTATATATAAAGTTTAGTTTTCATAATAAAATTTAGAGTTATTATAGATATAATTAGGCGATATTGCCAGGGCGTAAGTTAGCAATATTCTTAAAATATGTTAATAAATTCATATTTAAAAAATTTTTTTCATTAATAATATTAAAATCAATAATATTAAATTATTTTAAAATATGTCAGGCAGGGACAGAAAAAATGCGATTTTATTTATAGGAATTTCAAATCTTAAGTTATAAATATCACTTTTCCGTGTACCTGCTGTCAGGGTTGGCAATGCAATGGAGTCAATAGAGCCCAATGGTTACGTGAATGGAACCCAAAAAACTAGTATCCATTGACTCCATTCAAAGCTTCATTGGCTCCATTCGCAGTTTCATTGGGCCCTGAATACTGTATACGTATATTTAATTTAAAAAATCAACATAAAAATATACTGTAAACTAATTTAATATAATTAGCTAATTGTTAATTATTAATTAACAACTAGCAATTCATATTAAGCTAGCTTATATAGTATCCTATATTGACTCCTTATATTTAATAGATTTTAGATATAAAATATTAAATTTATAATTTTTTTAAAAAAAATTTAAACTATTTTACAAAATTAGTACAAAAGCCTAAATCTAGTTTATTAAAAAAAAAACCAAATATATAGCATGTATTAATATTTTAGTTAAAAAAAAATATCAATATACAGTATATACTTGTTATACAAGTATTGTATAAGTTTTAAAAAAAAGCAGATATAATTTTGCTTGAGAGAATGACCGAGGTATAATTAAAAATAAGACTAAAATAACAAGTGAAATGGTAATGATCTGTAAAAAAAAAAATGGCTCTACCAAATATAAATAAATACCGAGATCCTTGCGCTACATTATTGCAACTTAAAGGTTTCTACATCGAAAGACTCTTTACATAAAAATATTCACTCGATTGTAAACAGAAAGAAAAAATAGAACTTACAACAGTTTTACAAGTTTTTCTATATTACGTATTTGTGAATCGCTGTCTGTTATGTTATGGTAACGTACTGTATGTACGTATGTTTTTAGAACGGGATAAGGATTAGCCTGATTTTTTCGTCTCATAACATTCAATTTGTCTTAAAAATCGATTGATTCTGATTACCAACTACCCCTTACTTTATATGCCAGTCACTTCACATTTTATTTTTAACTTGCAGGATATCTGGATAAAGTACGCATTCGATATTTGGTACTCGTCACATGGATCTACGAGTGCTTATTGATATCTAACACTAAATAGTATAAGTCAAATCCCCGAATAGATCATATGATCTCATCTGATACATAGAAATCCGACCACAATTTTTTTTTAAAGGCATAACATGACAAGAACATGAACAACATTGGTTTAGTGGGAAATTTAGAACTGGTTTAATTTTAACGTTAATTTCTACGTAGTGTGTAGGCTGAATCAATAATTTTCTATTTTGGCTTCTATCACTATCGTTATGCGATTAACATATCTTTAATTAAACGTTAATTTATTCATTTTAATATTGTTGTACTACGTTATGGCGAAGTTCTGTAAGTTTGTTTTCTCTCCAAAAGGAATTGATAAGCCTTTCCCATTATCAAAAGAATTTTTATTTGCCCTTTTTTTGTTACAACGCGTATTGTTACCTAAAATTATTGACTTAAATGATAAGGGTGCCAGGGCCTCATGTATGCAGTAAATCTTTACATACGTAATTGGAGTATGCAAGGTAAGAACGAATATGTTTATTTAGACATCATACAATTTAACAATTTCGATATAGTAATCTCTGGAATTTCGATAGAATTAGATAATCTCCCTCTTTTTTTTCATTTTAATGTGTTTTCGTCCTTAAATTTTAACGAGTATGTCTGAACAATCGAACCAACCGCTGCATGTTCCTAATGAACGGGACCCATTAATTGGATCAAGGGTAAGTTTAGGTATAGCTTTTTATTTTATTTAGAAACTTTTTGTAGAAAATCTTTAAAAAGTTTAAAAAGAATCCTCAACATTTTTTAACAACATTAAAATGAAATGTGATTTTTTCTGAAATAAAATAACAAATTGTCTTCCCAAATTCATTTTCATGTTTTATGAAGTACATTAAAGGTCCAACAATCTCGAATTATATCTTGAAATTCTTGAAAAAATTGCAATTTATAAAAATTTTTACCATTGCTTTGATGATTGGTACTTTTTTTATATTACATGAAAGGTGTTTACATTGTTTACATTTTTTGAAAATTTGATATTTTTTTAAACAATCTCGTATTCGATTGATTGTCTTTAAAAGTCTTTAAGAATATGACAAGTTAATTAACTATTCGCCTATTTGTTGTATAATAATACTTTCGATTACCCAATATATAACTATAAAATTTCAAATCTTAGCAAACAACCTGAAGGTTATGTGATATATAATGCCAACATTTATACAGTTGACGAAAAAAATCCCAAAATTGAAGCTTTCACAGTTTTGGATGGAAAATTTGTTGATGTTGGTACAAGATTGGACTTACTACAAAAATGGACTAATCTTAAAGTAATTATGATTATTATTTATTGCGACTTTGGTTGAAGCAGTGAAATGAGATTCAAGTTAATGCGTTCTGTTTAATATGAAATTTTTAGCATGTAGATTTGCAAGGTCGAACCGTAATCCCAGGGCTAATTGATGCACATGCGGTATAAACTATTTATTTTCATTAATTTTATTGTTATATGATCTAATTATTATTATTTTTTAAATAGCATTTAATGCACTTTGGTGATGCATTAACGTCTGTTAATCTTGTCGGTGCAAAATCTATCGAAGGTACTTCTAATAACACATGACGCATAACGTAATAACATACATATCTGAAAGATAGATTCATTTTATTCTGCTATAATCATAACACTGTAGAAGTAAATCAACGAATTTATGAATACATTAAAGCGCATCCTGATAAGAATGAGTGGATCACAGGATGGGGATGGGATCAAACACTCTGGCCATCGAAATCTTTTCCGACTTTTGTACTGTCCAAAGAAATTTCATTTTATCCAAATATTTTGATAAATTTATTCACTTGCCTAATTTTGAAAAATCCTGTATTTTCACAGAACGATTTAGACAATGACCCGATATTATCCCAATATACAATATCATTAACACGCATTGATGGACACGCTTTGTGGGTTAATGGAAAAGTCTTAGACATACTTGGAACAAATAACATTCCGCTTGAAATTGATGGTGGGGAAATTGTAAGAGATAAGGAAACCGGTCAATTGACCGGAATTTTTGTTGATAATGCTATGAAACTGATTTGTAAGTTTATTTTAGAATTATTTCATTTGATATATATTTTAGGTTCTTTTACAGTAAAGTCATGCCTAGAGTAAAAACATATATATTCGAAGCATGTTTTTTTTGTAAAAGTACATATTTGATAATTTTATCTGACATTAATTCTTATTTATTTATTTAAAATTTTATAGACCAGTTATTGCCACAACCAACTGACCAGCAATTATTAACAAATCTCAAAGCGGCAATTTATGAAATGCATTCTCATGGTCTTACAGGGATTCACGATGCGGGCGTTTTGCCTAAATTACTTAAATTTTACAAAAAGTATCTTGGAATTTCTAGTTCTATCTTATATTTGTAACCTTTCACATTTTGATTTATTATTTTTTTTTCCTTAGTACTGTTCTATCAAATCCACAAGATTTTAATATAAGAAATTATGCTATGGTTGAATGTGAAAACAATACTTATTGTGGTGATCAGATTGAGAAAATAGAAGGGTTAGGTGATGGAAGATTAACTGTTAGAAGCGCTAAAATGTTTATGGATGGTGCATTGGGAAGTTGGGGTGCTGGTGGGTTATATTTTATCTCGCTTAACCAGTGAGTTTGACACGTAACTTTATTCTTGCATACTTATAATATCACTTTCTGTTTTTATAGCATTATTAGAACCTTATTCTGGTAAAACCATATATTAATTTGCATTTTTGATAAATGAAATATCTTGAATCTATTCAAATAATTTGAAACATAGATGATCCAACAAAGCAGGGGGTATTGATCTCTGATCCAACTTTATTACCACCTGTGATTAATCGATGGATGGATAATGTATTATAGTATTTTAAAAAATATTTTCAAGTACCGTATAAACTTTATATTATTGAAAACCAACTTAATGTCTCGTTTTCATACAGGGTTTCCAAGTAAACACTCATTGTATAGGAGATAAAGCCAATCATATAATCATAAATGCGTATGAAAAGTGCTTTAAAGATTGTATACTTTCAAAACAAAGTGGGAAAAATATTACTGAAGAAGAGTTGACTAAGGAAGTTAAAAAGTTAGGTGAAAGTGTTAGATTTAGAATCGAGCATGCGCAAATATTGGTATGTTAATTACTATGTGTTAGAAAATTATTAAAATCATTATTACAGGCCATTTAAAAATTTCTTTCGAATCTAGACACTGGACGATATCAAACGTGTTGGTGAATTACAGATTATACCATCGATGCAACCTACACATGGTATGTTTAAAACAATACAGAGTTGTGGACGACAATATTGGCGATCCTAACATAGCATTTGTTTATTGTATACAGCAACTTCTGATATGAAATACGCTGAACAAAGATTGGGTAGCGAGCGTATTAAAGGTGCATACGCATGGCGTTCATTCATTGATGCTGGGTATGGTATATAATGAAAACATATGATTGCTTATGAGGTAAAATTCCAAATTTAGGGTAGAACAAAGCGAGCTCATGTGATGATCAACCAACCGAATTGTGAAAACATATGAAACGGCTAAATGACCCTAACGTTAATATAACGGATGTTTTCAAAATTCAATCCGCTTAGTTATTCTCCAAATTTAGAATTATTGCCATTCTTTCGGGATATGTGTGTCGCTGATGATTTATGATGACAATGAAGGATAAATAATTATCATAGTACAAAAGATTCTACGTAATTAATAAATCATAGCCGCAAAGCACATTCTCAAAAAAATGGTAATTGTATGCGTGATTCTAAATTTGGAATTTTACCTCCGCTTTATGATTTTAAGATAACTGATTTATACCATATACTTTCACCTGATAAAGAGTAAAGCCATTCCCTCTTTCTTCGGATTTTCCCATAGAATCCGTAAACCCTTTTTTAGGATTTTATGCCGCAATCACGCGAAAATGGACTAATGGAGATTCTGTATGATTTCAAATATTTCACTTATTGGTGGACTTACCTTATAATAATATTGTTTTTATTGTTCTAATTACAGCCACACGGTCCAAATGGATGGTTTCCCTCGCAAAAACTAACACGTGAAGAAGCTTTACGCGGGTTTACCATTGATGCAGCATATTCCGCGTTTAATGAAGATATTGTACGTATAGAAAAAATTTCTTCATGTTTTCTTTCCGTTAGAGATAATGTTCGAATCTGGTACTGGTATGATCGATGATGATCGATTACTTGATCGATCAAAGATTTTTTGTTCGATCTTATCGATCACGAACTTTTTATAGATCAATGAAATTTTTGAGATTTTTATTAAGCATATCGAAATTCATGTACTAATTAAAGTTGTTCTATAGTCCAAAATTCTATAATTTTGATAAAATTTGAACTATTTTTAAAACAATTCTACAGAACATATAAATTTCTAAAGTATATAAAGCAGTTCAAATTTTATAAAGATTTAAAGCAGATAGAATTTTGCACTACAAAAATAATTCTATTCAATTACGCATTAAAATCGATTTATTTAGTGAAAATTCTTGATTTTTGCATGTTATGGTTATGGTGATAGAGTCATTCTTGATGATGACGATGTAAATTTTATATGATTGTTATCATAACATGCTTGAATCGAAGTTTTTACTAAATATATATTAAAATAATTACTCGTCTACATTTCATATTTATACATTTTAATAGCAAAAACATTTAATGTCAGTTAGTACATGAACGTCGATTTGCTTAGTATAAAATATTTATCAATCTCGATAAAATTTTGATCATAATCGCTTATTATATGATCGATCAAACTATCGAACAGCAAATATGTGATCGATTATATAATCGATCATGAAATTTGACCAAGCACTATCTCTACTTTCTGTTTTTCAATGATCTAACTTTTTTCCGATACCTATCTTTTTTTCCTCAAAGTTGGGATCGATAACCGTCGGCAAATATGCGGATTTTGTAGTAATCGATCGTGATATAATGGAAATCCCAGAACAAGAAATAATTAACACAGCTGTATTAACAACTGTATTCGGTGGTCAGGTTGTTTTTGGTGATTTTCGGAAGATTGTACAATAACAAACATAAAGTTCATGTAATTTAAGTTATAACTTATGTTCTTTTACATTTAAGATGAATTTACTTGTATTATTATCATATATTTATAGTCATCTATGATTTTATTAAATAATAGTTTGTATTTTTTGCATTTTAACTCGAAAGTACAAATTGCACAATTAGTAATATATTACTAACACTGCGCTGTGATAAGTTTTATCTTTATAAATATTATATAAAGTTGAATGTGCATATATATTTGTAAAGTTATATTCTCTTTATCAAAATACTTAAAAATAACTGTTATATAATCAGCCATTTTATACCGAATTGTGTAATATTATTTTAAAACTAAGAATAAACACAGGTCGAAAGATGGCAAACTAAGGTACCTGATTTATGCCTGGTTTGCCAACTTTCGACCATATAATAATTTTAGTAAATATTAATAGCTCTTTTCATCGATATTGTCCCTTAATGATTCGGATAATTGTTAGTCGTTAAAGTAGATAATACTTATGCCAATTGGCTTTGGAATGAAAGTTTTCAGTTTTCCACCAAAACTGGCGGAATTATTAATGGGGATAAAATTTTAAAAATTGAGATTCTGTCCCTTAATTTTTTCATTTCTTCAATATGTTCTCTAGCAAATTTGCTAAGTGAATATTCATTTTTGATAGCATGGTTATATAGTTGTAATCACTATCAACATCCTGCGATTACGAAAGTAAAAAAGGTTTGTTAAAAAAAAATTTTTTTTTAAATAACAATAACTACTTATACTATTTTTTTTTTCAGTTCAATATAATTCATTACGCTTCCTATTAACGTTCTTACTAGAATCCTGTTTATTCTTTCTCTACTAGAATTCTGTTCATTCTTTTCTTTACTTTACTAGAACTCTATTCGCTCTTTTTTTAATAGAAATCTGCTCATTCCAAAATTCCGTTCATTCTTACTAGAATTCTGCGACTATAAAAGTAAAAAAAGTTTCATTAAAAAATTTCTATAAATTTTAACAAATGACATAAATAATAATATTGTATCTGTTTATACCGAATAGTAATTGCTCCAGAATTTTTGTAAACAGCCATCTGGCTTGAGATCATTCTAAAATAAACATGTAAGACTAATAAATAATTGATTAAATAGAATAATTAATGATCTAATTTGATATAATAAATTAATTGCTAAAATATGCAAATTTGAATATTCATATATACGAAAATCTTATAAATCACACTAGAAATACGGTCATTTTTGATCTTTATATAAAAACAGGTCAGGATGTTACTCCCAGAATTGAAAATCATATTTCTAGAACCAGGTCAGGATACGTCTCCCCAGAGAACCAGGTCAGGGTATTACTCCCCAGAACTAGATGCGAATATAATTTCCAAAACCAAGTCAGGACATGTCTCCCCAGAAATCTACAAAGATCAGAACGAATTCACAGCAGAATTTTAAATATTCTTCTTTAATTATATGAAGAAAGGTACATAATCACTCCTTCTCCGAAATGATAGACCTTCATAAGCATAAAGAGCTGTGTCGTATCTCTGTATTAAAGAAATTTTATAAAGGTAGAAAGCAAAAAAAAAATCCTAATTTCTATGATAGAGAGTCATAATCCTAATTCCTACAACAAAAGGAGTTATAATCCTAATTCCTACAACAAAGAGTTATAATCCTAGTGATTACCAAGTCCTTTAACTAAAGGGAAATAGTAACTCACCAGAAGCCCTTTTAAAATTTCTTTAGCTTTAGTTTTTTCTTTGTCGAAACTGTTAGTTTGGAGTTGCTGCTTAATGATTTTTATGGCAAGACCTTTATTGTTTGGGTAACTACGATTTAGCCATTGATCAGTGGGTGCAATAACCAAAGTTAAGATCGAAAACACATCTTTGTATAACTGCATGTATTTTGTTTTGTAAATTTTTTGGGTTTTTAACAACGTAATCTCTCTTTTTTATTGGCCCAAAATCGCCTTTTGATCATGTGCCGATCTGCGATCTTATTGCAGTATTGTAAAATAATTTTTTATGTGTTGCACGCAAATCAGTTATGTCATAAAAATTGATAAACAAACATTACACGAAAAAAAGCCTTGACCTTTTCAATGGGCTCGTCTACTTCTGGAAAATCTGCTCCAAAACGTAAAGCAGAAGTAGACGAAAGAGACATGACCCAAATAAAAAAATTATTAACTCTCCGTTCAAGAAGGAACCCCAAGCAGAAGTAAGCGAAAAGACTGGATATAATTGTAAGTTTATTTTACTTGAAATAAGTGATCTGGCAATCTGATCTATTTTTTTTTTTATTTTTTTTTTCCAAAAACTCCCATTTCATTTTCCGAATTTAAAATCTTGAAAAACAAATATATTTTTTCAAACTTTCATTAAATTTCAAAATGCGCCATTTATTTATTGACTTTGAAATTCTTTATTATATAATTCTTGCTCAATACTTCATAAACAAGAAAAAAAAAAAAAAAAGCTCTTATTATAATTTCCTTTACAATAAACAAAAGGAAATTACCCAATTCTTACGATCAATCGAGACAACGTATAATTGGGTATCAGTAAATAATTCTTTTTACAAGCGATATGTCAAAAGTTGCTGAGGAGCAACTTGACAAGGAAAGTTTCTTGGAACTAAAAAATGAGGTGTGATTTTATTTCTTTATTTCGCAAAGTAGAAGCAATTATTGGTTATGGGTGCTCTCAAGCGTTATCGCAACGACACTCAAGCAAAATTATATTTACATAAAACTTTTATTGAGAATTCGAATATGTAATTTATGATGTAATTGAAATTTTCTCAAGCATCATCTTCGATGTGATTAATTAGTGATCGTAATGGTGTTCATTTAAAGAATTAATTGAAATAAACATTGCAATCAATATTTGAGCGGTTCTTTTACTATTCGTCAAAAATAAAAAAAATGAAAAATAAAAAAAACCGCGAATATTCAAAATTAAATGGGATAATAAGTATATCCCTCAATATCTATAACTTCCTGCTTAATAATATTTAACATTCTACAAAAGTTTCTAACAATAAAATGCCAAGTATGTCCGTTTTTAAATACTAAATATTTCCCTATACGCCAAACCCTTTCACGTTTTTTTTGGTATTCTTCTGAAATTGAATCCAATATTTCATTGATTCTATGAGTATCACTACGTCGAACTCTAACGATCATAGAATCCCAATCAGTATCGTCCTCAAAAGGTTCAATAATTCCATCGGCAATAACGATAGGAACCACACCGAATGCAATATACTCCCATATACGAGCAGTGTCTAGCGTCCATCCTGAGGGCGTCAAACCATATTTTGATCTTGCAAGTAATTTAGCGTACACTTCTGGATCTGATGATTCTCCGATGTTCCAACCTGGTAATCCCTTTAATCCATTAAATATTACATGCCTAATACCATCAGAATAAGCATCAGTTGCATTGACATTCGCACAACAACCTCTAAAAAGTCCTTTAATGTCCCGACCGAACGGATTACCATTTTCATTAACATATTTTAAAGGATCTATATGATAAGTATCTAATATAGGAGTGGCACTTGGTATAACAATATTATGATATCTTCTAAAATTTTGGTAACCTAAGTTTCGTTTATCACCGATTGTTGTCAAATATATCGAATTCTGAAACATCTCTTTTTTACTATAATAATCATCGGAACTATCCATTGGATGTATCATAAAATGATTCGCTCCATTAGTTTTATTCCAGTAAACAAAATTTTGAATAATATAATTCATTAGTGGTTCCAAATACACTGTATCTACTTGACATCTTTTAGTTTGATTCCAACTATTATTTATCCAACAGTTAAACAAATAGCAACTTCCAAAAAATGGAATATAAAATAAATCAGCTTCTTCAGGATTTTTTGTGACGTATAAATTATGAAGTGTTGAATCTAATGCTGAAAGTTGATCGAATAATATTAACTCGGAATTGTAGCCTGAGAATATACACTGTTTTTTTTTATGATTGCTAATTTGAATGTCGGACGGGATTTCATATATATATATCTTTGGTCTACATATTGCATAACCTTTTATAATAAATTAGTTTAATAATGAAAACTTTGATATAAGATTACAATCAACTATCGATATAACTAGTCATTATAGTTATTTTCTATACATATGTAGCGATACTGTAACTGCGTTCTGATTTGGTCACCAGCCGATGTGTTATATTAAACCAATAATATAATTAGTGGCAAAATAACCATTAAACACATTATATGACTCTTTTTTAAAAAAAAAATTGCCGTTAAAACCGGTAAACCCCATATAAGGGTATTCATTATATCGTAGTTAATTGTAATATGCAACCGATTAAAATATTTACAAAGATAACCTACGAAGATCTGGTGGCCAAACTCTCCATTTATCTTGTATAGGAGGCAATGGAGACAATGCTGAAGATGCCGTTGGTGTTGGTGTTGTTGTTAATAATGGTTCTGTACTTTCTTCGGATTCATTAGGTATAACAATATTTGTTTGCTGCAGTTGAGCAAGTTGCTGATATAGGATAATTAAACTTGATATACAAAGTGCCAAAATTACAAATAATTTGGCTTGTTTCATAGTTGTTTTTTTTTTTTGGATAACGATAAGGGTTAAATTGAATTTCGAAACACAATCTACATTTTTTAATCCATAAAAAAAGTTCTTGTTCAACCTCCTGCATCCCTATCTGGATTTGTCCTACCATTACAAATTTAAAATCCCTGGTCGGAATAAGCCATAACAAATCAAACTTGCATCAATATTAAATATTATAATCTTATGTAGAGATATGAATTCATTGGTAAAATTTTGGCTGATCTTGCAAATGTTATTAATTCCGGGCTAGCAGACTAGATTCCGATCCAGAATTTGCGATCTTCCAATATTTATCTGGAATTTATTTTGTGCTTGTGAAATCTGAAATTCTAGAAACTGGTGAAACGACAATATTACACAAAATACAATATGATCGATGTCATACATTTAGTTCAATTTTGTAGCTAAATTTTTATCAGGTGTTTCAGGAATTATGATAATAGCAGAAAAGTCGATTTTCGAATTAAAAAAATAAAACCGAAATTTGAATTCTATGAATCCAAACAAAAAAAGTTTTATAGAATTTGATCAGATAGTTACCAAGATATCTTCGCTCAAAATTACAGAAAAATTTGGCGCAACTTCTATTTTGATATTAACCATAGCTGCCTTATCAATTTTGATTGGCTAAGGGCGACAAACAAAAAATCAGTCCGGAATTACTCATAATTTACCATATTATTTCTATTTTTGAAAAAATTAGAAGGTTAATTCCGGCCGGAAATTAGTAAACAAATTTGTAATGTGGGCCAAAATTTTGAAGATCCTCCCGGTTCAATTTTGTTGGGTTAATATCAAAATAATAACTGCGGCAAAATTTTTATACACCTTTGAACGAAGAAATCTCAACGAACACACAACCAAATTCAGTGAATTTTTTATTTTGATTATACAGATCAGTAGAATTCAAATAAAAAAAATTCATCGAATTTGGTTGGGTGGTTGTCATGATATCTTTGCTCAAAGTTTTATAAACGTTCAACTAGCAAATAACGAAGATATCTTGACAACCACCCAACCAAATTCGATGAGTTTTTTTATTTTGATTCTCCAAATCTATAGAATTCAAATAAAAAAAATCCATCAAATTTGGCTAGGTAGTTGTCAGGATATTTTTAAAATATTCGACATATCAACAGTTGCGGCACAATTTTTGTAAATCTTTGAATGAAAATATCTTGGTAACCACCTAACCAAATTCACCGAATTTTTTTTTATTTTACTTTTACATATCCGGAGAATCAAAATAAATAAAAATTTATTGAATTTAGTTGGATAGTTGCTAAATATATTTACCTAAAGTTTTAAAAAACAAATTCTGTAGGGGTGCATGATAAAAATGTGGCTTAGATTTAGATACATTGTAGATCTATCAAAAAAGCAAGCGCAGACCTATCAAAAACGATGCTTTTTGCGCCGGTAGGGACACAGAAATTTTTCGAAAGAAATTTTTAATATATAATTTTTTTCAAATTCTAATTTTTTTGATAAAATATTATCATGTATCATAAAAAGATTGGTTTTTAATTGTTTAAACATGTTATTTCTGCCAATAATATTGTAGTTTCGAAATTTTTACTTTTAATCAAAATAATATTTACGTGTCTCTGGTAGGGATGGAAAAAAAACGTTTTAAACAGTTTTTTAGATGTTTTAAAACTTTTTAAAAAACTTTTCAAAACATTGGCGCTGAGGCTAAAATTTAAAATTTATGCTAAAATGCCGATTCACCAAATTTCATAGAGATAACTTTTAAAGAAAAATATTCACTTTATAAACTTTGCTTATTATATAATTACAAGAAATGCACAATTGCTTAAATATTCATAAAAATTTTTTTTTTTTTTTTTTTGTATGTTCCTTTTAATATGCATAACCGTAAATTTAATTATTGTCATCTTCGAACCAACCATCAATCTCAATTCCTTTTTAAATTCTTGAATTCTGATAGACTACAACAAGTTTTTTTACCCGTTCATTATTTAATAAATTTTTCATACTTTTTGGAAGCTTTTTGCATCTATATAAGTGATCCTTTAATCAAGCGACTAAATCCACAAAGTCTTCTCTACAGTAGTTACACTTTTGGCGAGGCGCAGTTTCCATAACTTTTGTAAAGTTCAAGCGAATTTCTTTTGATGGAGGTATTCCACGGAGCATGATTGTTTATAATTTTATATTTTAAAAAGAGAAAGTTGTATTTTGACTAATTAGTTAAATAAATAAATACTATCCCATTGTTACGTATTATGATTACGTCAGAATGTATTAAATCATTTAAAAATAGTTTTAAATCAAACAAACATGTTTTAAAACATTCCGTTTTAAAACATTTTACATCCCCAGTCTCTGGTGTCCGGAGACTTTCCCCGGTATGACATACCGATGTAATAAACAAAAATTGATCCTAATAATAAATTCGAAAGTTTTTTTAAACCTTCTAGCAACGATTTTTCAATAACTCTTAATTAAATTCGGTAAAAAAAAACAATTCTCTAGTATAGTAGAGCTAAATAAAAAAGATTCAGTAGTTGTTGAGAAATCATCACGAAAAGATTAAAAAAACGTTAATATCAATAAATCGGATAAATTTTTGGTTTGGAATTTTAAATGACGATTTCTCTACAACCAACTATCCAAATTTAAAGAAATTTTTTATTTTAATTCTTTGGGTTCATAGAATCGAATTTGAATAGCTGGTTGTTGAGAAACATTCATTAAAAGTTAAAGAAAAATTTAGCCGCAGCTTTTTTTTAAAAGATTAACCCTAGGTGCCGCATCGATTTTGATTGGCTAACGACCGAGGATCTTCAAAATTTTGGCTCGTATTACATAATTAGGGTAGCTGCGCGACGCGGTGGTGTCGCGCCAAAACCAGGAACGCACTACGGATTGGTTTTGAAAATTAT